TGGGGGCCCATCCTGCTCAGAGGAACGCATCCAGCCAGGAAGGGGCACCCACCCCTCTGTGCCAGGGCCCTGGTTATGCCACGGTCCCACATGCCAGGCAAAGAAGGTGGATGGCCAAAAGAAAAGCCCGTCCAGGAGTTAAACCCCTCACAGCCTAAGTGAGGATCATACCCCTAGACCAACAAGCTAGGGTGCTGCACCCCACTGCACCCCCAGATCTGTGCCCCACAAGTTTGGGGGTCAGCAAGGGTGGCTGGTGCTGCCTTTTGCCCCTGGCACAGCCTAGAACAGGGAAATCCATCTTAGTGTGCCCAGGACATGTGGCCAGTGTTTAGAGGTGTCCACGGTGGCATAAATTCCCTGGACCCAGTGGCCACAGGGACAGGTGGACCACAGGACCAGTGGGGACTCCTGGGCACCATCCTGCTTAGGTACAAGGGGGATGTAGCTCAGCGGGAGAGCGCTTGCTTTGCATGCAAGAGGCCCTGGGATCAACCCCCAGCATCTCCATATCCTTTTGCCTCCCCAGGGACCCCTCGCTGCTGGCTGTGGGGCTGGCAAAGCCACCCAGACCCCCCATAAAAGCCCAGGAGCTGCCTGCAGGCACAGCTGGCACAGGAGTGGGGGGACAGCAGTGGTGCATAGTGGGTCCCCACACCCCATGCCAGACCCCAAGCTGCCCTGGTCATCCTGGCCAGCTCCAAGATGCAGTGACGGGGGAAACAAAGGGATGACCCCAAAGAGCTCTGCACCCCCAGAGAAAAATAAGACAGGCTCTGCCCAAAGGGAGGACTTCTCTGAGAGTTGGATCCTGGACTTCTCACATCTAAAGGTGGAACCACAGCCCCAAGCCTGCATGGGGCTTCCCAGCACTCCCTCATGGCCCACAGGCTTGGTGTGGGTCCCAGCTGGCCCATGGGCAAAAGTAGATAAACCCACCCCGACAACCTGGGTGTCTGTGGTCCCCACCCTCTGGGACAGGATTCTCCTTGGCCCCAGGTCGAGTGGCCCATGTCTCCCTGCCCTACAATGCCTCATTTTCTCCAGTGCAGGAGCCACTTCCTGGGAAGAGTGTGAGGGACAGGGCTGGGGCCTGCCCTAAATCCCACTGCGGTGAACTCCTGTAGGGGCAGCTAAAACCCTGTCGCTGTGAGCAGGATTTGAACCTGCGCGGGGACTCCCCCATTGGATTTCGAGTCCAACGCCTTCACCCCTCGGCCATCACAGCCCCATTTTGCCACTCCCGGGAGGGGGGGAGACAGCAGCCCCCAGCCCGGGGGTCCCTGCATGGGCTCAGCTGGTCAAAGTGCCTGTCTAGTGAACAGGAGATCCTGGGTCTGACTCCCAGTGGTGCCTGGGCGCTGAGGGGGAGATGCTTTTCCTCCCTGCCCCAAGCTGGGGGGCACTGCTGGGGCCATTCTTCCCTGCTGCCCCTATTTGCCCCCCTCACAATGACAGCACTGCCCCAGAGCGGTTTGGGTGAACACTTTTACCTGGAGAGCCTCTACCGACAAGGGAATGGAGGTGAGGGGTGAACTTACCATGGGAGCAGGGTCCTTGGACACACACTGACTGTGGCCACCAGTGCAGAGGCTGCACTTTGAAGTTGGCACCACTGGTGTAGGAGCCCTTGGGGCATATGTCCAGCCACAGTTATGATGAACAAGCAGGTTCACCAACAACTCCGATGGGAAGAACACTTCCATATCTTCTGACTGTAGTCCCCAGAGAGTTCAAGGCATCCGTCCACGGTTTCATGCCTCCTTTGTCCCAGTTTGCTTTTCGGTTGCTCCCTCCTTTTGGGAAGGTTATCACCTTACTACTCAACAGCCACTTTCTGCATTAATCACTCCTTTAAAGATTTCAGAGTGTTTTCTTTCTTGTGACTCCTGGATAAGAGGCTCCCAGCCACTCCACACCAGGACCTCGGCTGCCCATCTTTGATGCTACCTCGATTTCTCCTGCCATCATCACCCCCCTCTCCAAAACACGGCGCTGCTGCAGGGCACCAGCGACCTCATGCCCCTTGGGCAGGATGCAACGCGGTGCCCCCAGTGCCCCCCAAGGCGGCAGCAAAAGTGCGACGAGGGTGGGATTCGAACCCACGCGTGCAGAGCACAATGGATTAGCAGTCCATCGCCTTAACCACTCGGCCACCTCGTCCCGCCGCGGGGCCCTGTCGCCCCCTGCCGGCCTGACGCCGCCGCCGCAGTATCCCCGCCCCCCCTTGTCGCCCCGCCTCCCGGAAGCTCCACTGGGGCGAACTCCACCGCCGCCCTCTTAGCGCAGCCGGCAGCGCGTCAGTCTCATAATCTGAAGGTCCTGAGTTCGAGCCTCAGAGAGGGCAATGCCTTTTTTTTTTTTTTTTTTTTTTTTTTTTGCCGCACCCCGGCCTTCCCCCCTCTCTCCTCGCCGACATTTTGCGGCCACGCTCAGCCCCGTGAGGGCCCGCCGGTCCGGGGCAGGGCCGTCACGGGCTGTGGCCTGGCCCTTACGGGCGCGCGGCGGGACGAGGTGGCCGAGTGGTTAAGGCGATGGACTGCTAATCCATTGTGCTCTGCACGCGTGGGTTCGAATCCCACCCTCGTCGCGCTTTTGCTGCTGCGTAAGCTTTTGCAGAGGAACGAGGCAAAAGGGCACCTTTTCGAGCCACTAGAAATTTATTTGGTACAAAAACACATTGTGCGAGTCAACGACCTCGAAGCTCTTTTGGGTTTTGACAGCTAAATTCCAAGTGAACTAAGAATAACAAGAGCAGGGCCAAAAGCTTTGCTTCGCAAGGACCCAGCTGAACTTACACAACTCAGCCTGACAAAGGTGTGGGTAGCAGGAACAGCCTCAAAGCACCACCTTCTCAGTTTACATTTCTTAGTTCAACTTAACACTGAGCTACTCTTGCTCATTTTGGGTTTAAGAGAAATCGTACAAATGAAATGCTTTTTAAAAAGCCTATACAATTACTTTTTTGGAAGGCAGCTGACTGTTTTGGACTACTGAGGATTTTACATAAAATTAGGAGTCAGACTGGGGTCGGGCAGGCAAGATAATCAGTGTTCTCTGCATTAATTTCTATTTCACCAGGTAGAAGGGTCTGTTTGAGAAAAATTTGCTGCTTTTGTAAAGAAAAAAAAAAAGAAACAAAAAGATAAGCTGTATTGAAGTACTGCAGACATGAAATACATCTGCATACTATTTACTGGGAATTAAACCAAAAGGTCTTCAACTTCCAAAGGTTTTTAAGTGCTGGAGAATGCAGGCAAACTGCTCTTCCAAAAAAAAATTTTTAAAAAGGAAAATTGTTTCTCCATAGCTGTTTACTGAATAAAGCATCCTGTTCTCCAGCATGACATGGAATCTGTGGAATAAGCAACTCACCTGGTTTTAAAGCTGTAAAAATTGAGTAAAACTTGGACCCAGCAGCACAAAAATCCTTCTAGATTTGCACTGAGCAACATAAACTTGGCCCAGTGCTGCTCCAACTTGAGAATGCCAGTATTGACATTCCTGGGAACAGAAAAACCACAGTGCTGCTGCAAGGCAGTTCCTGCATGAAGGAAGCACAGAGCTGAGACAACATTTCAGGGACTGTGTCTACAGAGAGCAATCGCTCCAGTGTTCCCAGGGACCCTGTGCTACTTCAGTTTCCCCCCTGCTGAAGTTGTGTTTACCCACGATGAGAGCTGGGAGAAAGAAAAGTCACTACTGTCATGTAAGGCCTTCCATGAAAAGCTTTTGACTCGTCTCCAGGAGGGAGCTGCAGACCAGCCGTGACACACTGACCCTGTGGAAGGCAGCCATGTGAGAAGGGCCCAAGCTCCACAGCTGCTCCATGTTCTTATTCCAGGAGAACATTTGCTTGCTCTGGAACATGCCCCACGAGCATATCTGTTCAGTCAGCCAGACCTGGATTTCTTTCTTGAGTGTCCACATCTCAGCTCTGCTCAAATATCCACCATGTCCACCAGAGCAGAGAGCTGGAGCTCAGAGGCAGCTTCAGCCTCCTTGGTCGCCCTGAGGAGCTGCTGCAAGTGTTTCAGTCTGTCCGACAGCGCAGGGCTTCGCTCCGTCTCCACAACCTTGTGTCCCTCTTGACTCCCAGCCTGGGCAGAAGAAAAAGAGATGAGACCAAGACTTTCTCCCAAGGTAATTCCCGCTAGAGGTTTTGCAACTACTGCACTCCTCGGAGCTTTAGCCAGTGCTCACGACCCCTCATCTTACCTCCTGAGCAGGTGGCATGGGACTCTTCACCAATGGGCAGGTGACAGCTGAGGTGGAGAGCAGCGACTGGGGGAGGTAGAGAGGAAGACCTAAGAGATCCCCAAGGGGCTCAGTGTCCTCGGTCAGGTATCGGTGCAACTGTTCTTCAAACCTAGATGGGAAGATCAAGAGCATCAGTTAGATGGCAGCCTGGCTTTGTCCCTGTAACCAGTGTGTTAACTAAGAGTTCTGGGTTTAGAAGTGTCTGACCTCCACAGTCTGACACAGCCAATTGCTATTTCAAAAATCCACCACATAAAAGTGTGGTACAGAAAGCAGCTACACAGACTGCAGACACCCAACTGATGGGAAAGGCAGAAGAGACAAAAACCTCTTGGGCCAACCTCAAAAGCTTAGTTCTTCCCCTTTGTGATATGCATCACTACAAACTGACATCCCAGAGAGAACTTTATAGACATTTGTGACACAGTGGGACACACAGACCACTGTAATGCTTCAGTTGTGGTGGCATGATTGACCACAGAGTTTCCAACCATTCCTAAAAGTTCCAAGAATTTGTACCATCACAGACTGTTCCTGTGATGCAAGTAGGAGATAGCAGGGAACTGCACTGATGTACTTGATGAAATCCAAAGAAACTGAAGACAGTCTGGGCTGTTTTCTAGCACTGTTCAAGTTAGAAATTGTTTATAACCCTAGGCTGAAGCTGCAAAGAAAAGATGCTGCTCTCGGAACTTACCTCCTGTTTTCTATTTTTTCCAGTTGCAGCTGTGCCAACAGATGCTCCTGGGCCAAGGACATGTCTCTGAATTCATCTGAGCTGGGAATGCTCACCTCCTGACCTGATAGCTTGCTCATGCCAGAGCCATACTGGCCTGGTATCATGGACATGCTGTAGGGTTTCTTAAAAGACTTGGGAGATTTTATCCTTGACCTGAAGAGGGGAGGAAAAAAACAACAAACAAAAGCACAGGAACTGGTATAAGTGTGTTGATTTTTCCCTATTAGCTTCAAGACTGGAAATAGCAGGGAGTGAGAAGTGATCATCTGGAGAAGTAATGCTCTTGTGCCAGCATCCAACACACTACCACCTGTGCATGGGATTAGAGAGGAACTAATCTGATAGGAGCCTAGGATTCACCTCAGACATCACCCACTATACAGCAGAACTGCAGCTAAGCTTCCAAAAGAGAAGAGTGGCTTCCCTCTGAATGAGGCTAGGGAAGTGAGCTAGACTCTGGAGATCTCAAATACCTTTATAATGCCACACAGCTCTAAGGTATCCTTCCCCCTCAACCTATCCAGCATTTTTTCAGCCTCGCAGTTTTCCCTCCATGCTTTAGACAAGTCAAACTCTAAGGCCCAGCAGCACTTTTGGCTCCAGTTCATTTCTCCTCTTATAGCACTCTGAGCACTCCCCAAGCAACCCATTTCTCTGAGAGCTGAGTAACCTCATACATATAAAATCTACCTACTGCCCTGTTTCAGCACAGCCTTGTACATCATTTCAAAGAGATGTGCACAGGTACATTCTGGGAGGATGCCATATGCTGATTTTCAGCATTGCAGGGGTCCTAAGCAACCTCCTTGGAATTCTCCACAAACAGCTGAATGCTACTCCCTCACCTCTCGTGGCCTCGTCGGATCTCCTCCTGTGTGCGCAGCCTGGCTTGATCCCACGAGAAAGGGAGAGTGTAGTTCTTTAAATGCTCCTTGAAGAAGTACACATGAATCTGACCGTCTTTACTTACTGCTTCTGTGAATAAACCCAAGCCCAACATTTATCATTTCCACAGATTTTCTCCTTCAGAAGAAAAGCTCAGTATTAAAAAGGCAATTTGGGGAGAGTGTTCACTTTCAAGTGGGTTTCAGTTGTAATCTGCTTGTAAAAAAGAGCCTTCTTGAACTCAACAGGTTATTGTCAGTCTGTAAAACGCTGCTTTCTCTTAGTTTTAAAAATTCTATTGCATCCAAGTTCAATGGATGAAGTAGTCATTTCATTAAAAGAGGCTCCCTACAGTTAAGCTAAAAAACCCCCACACATTTGAAATTGAAAGCAAACAGAATTTGAGACCTCAACTTCATGAATCCATGGAAGTGCTAATTAACCATGGCAGTCTCACATCCCAGCTGACATGGCTTCTGAGGGGCAATTCTTGGCCTTTGGTTAAAGCAGACTCATACACTGGGAGGGCAGGCCAAAAGACTCTAACCAGAGACACATTTGTAATCACAAGATCAAGTCAAGTCATAACTAATATTAAACACACACTCCAAGGAGAAGACAGATGTGCAGAATCACAGCAAGACAGCAGCTCCCTCCCTGCTACATCTCACTTGCTGCCATGCATAAAGGCACCATTGGCAAGTTATTAAATACTATCACAGAAGAAGTATCATCCATGTTGTAGGAGCAATACCTGGAGCAATAGGCAGTTTGGGCGGTTTCCAGTCTCTCAGTTTATGATCAATGCAGACTGCCAAGATACAATCCCAAGGGATCTCATCAACAGAAGGTCCATCTTTATCAGAGTTCCCCATTGTTCGGTTTTTCCACTTTTGGTAAGTTTTGGTCAGCAGATTTTCCACTTGAGACTGGATCAGTGGTTGAGTGTGCGAAGAACTTGCAATCTGGGAGACGTACTGAAAAATCATGTGGCAAACAGGACGCCAAGGAGCTGCCAAACAAACCAACCAAAGTAAACTGCAAGAATCTGTGACAGAACCAACACAGCACAGGCACACCTTGGAGAATCATGTGCTGCCAAGAAGATATTATACAGTGTGAAGTACCTACCACCTAACGGGGGCAGATCTAGGTATGGGATCTGGAAGGACAGCACAGCCTTCTTCAGCCAGGCCAGGTGATCCGGCATGTTCCACTGCAGGTGGGGCAACAGCTTGTTACCCCCAGGTTCTGAAAACTCGGTCACAGGCCAAGACAAGTCATAAAGATGCTCCGAGGATGCTACATCTGAGAGAAACTGCAGCACACTGTTGTAGAGCTCTATGATGACCCCGGGCTCCTGGGATGGCAGGCCAGCCAAACGCCTCTCCTTCCAGTCGTGGTAGAAGCGCTTGCCAAATTCACCATCAATCCCATCCTCAATGTACTCCTGAAGGGTCTTACTGCAGAGCTCAAGGGAGTCAGGACACCGGGAAACCAGCCAGCCCACAGCCACAGAGATCTATGACACACAAAACAGGGGTGGTTGGAAACTGCTCTGCAGTGATCAGGACACAAAGGATTCAATCCAGCAACCCTAAGTTTGACATAACACTATCCAAGATAGTGTGCAGCAAAATGCAAAGAAATCAGCTATCATCATCCCAACGTTTGCAACAACAGTTCTCTAACTAGGTGGTCATAAACTAAATTTCCATGCAGCAGGCTCAGGAAGACACAGAAAAGAGTCTGGTCACAAGGTACAGGCATGCAGTGGAATTCCCTGCTGCAGGACACTGGGAATGTGGAAAACTTATCCAGGAAAAACTGGACAGACTCACAGAAATTAGAAGACCATGGTGACTATACCCAGAGAAGCCATATCTGATCCTGGCAGTCCTTGAACTGCAGAGATGCACATTGTGAGGGTTTGTGGGGGAGCATCACTCTGGGTTTGTCACACAGAGATCCGTACAATCCTTTTTCATATACAGAACATGACAGGATAGAGGCATCTCTCAGTCCCATCCACCAAGATGGGATAATACTGGGTGATATAACAGAAGCCAAAAGAGCTACAAAGTGTCCTCTGCATTTTAGGACTTCGAGGTTAAGGATAAAAGGTTTACCTACCACCAGCACTCATCTGGTGGGCAAGCAACACAGGCAGGGCAGACAAGAGTGGACTTAGGTAAATCCACGAATTTTGGTCTCAGAGCAGTTTTCAGTACTACACAGATTAAATTATCTTTTTTGGTAGCAAGTGCCACAGATCTCTGGTCCGTGAAAACGGAACAGTCACGAACAGTGGAAAAGTACCAGAAATATTCTCATTTCAGAATAGTTCTGGCTGATGTTGGAATCACTACTGACAAGCAAGCACCCCACTCCAGCAGAGTCAGGTGTGTGGAAAAATGGTTAAGGGAGCTTTTTGAACAAAAACTACGTTACATAAAATCCAATGGAAAAAATATCCCATTACACGAGACTCAGCTGAAATTTAAGCTACTGAGAATATAATAATATGTATATTATATAATTATATATTTATATTATATATTATATGATTGTATATTTTATTATATATATAATAATATAATAAGCAAGTTATCTCTTGCTGTTCTTACCCTTTTTGTGCCTTCTAAGTCACTGACAGAAACTGGGAGCTCCACAATGGTGTAGTCCGAAATAAGCTGGGCTGAAATCAAGTCCTGCAGCATCAAACCTTAAAAAATAAGAAAACTCACCATTTACACAGAGGAAGAACACACAGCATCACTCCTCTCCTCCATCTCTGCCCACAGACTCTCAGGATCAAATACTGTGTGTGAAGGAAAACTTGGAGCCAAAACTGATGAGCTCTTAAGGCCTCAGGATTTCTAGCAAAGCTCTGAGAAGTGCTGTACTTCACAGCCTCTCCCTTTACTGGATGAGATAACTGAGATGCTGCACCAGCCACAACAGTTCTACTTAGGGCAGCCTTAAACATTCACATTTTCAAGACAAAGAAACAATTACATACCATCTTCTACTTCTTTCTCCGGGGCCTCCTCTTCCTGACTGGGGACTAGAACCACCAAAGGAACTACGGGGTGGAAAGGTTTGGCCTGAAGCAACTGTTTCAGCTGCAGCAAAGCTGAAAGCCAATATACATCATCTTCTGCAACATCTTCACTCTTAACTCGGGGGGGCAGGAGAAGAACAAGGCCACTGGTCCCAAGCAAGTCTTTTTGTGTCTCAGCCATGTCAAGCTCCGGGTCAGAGAGCGCACCCTGTGCCACCTAGACAAGCAACAAAGTTGACAACATGGATGTAGCTAAAGGGAGCTATGTACCAAAACCTGCAGTGTATTATCATCACCACTCAGCTTTGACATCCATTACCAGGAGCTCTACAAAACCTAAGACAAAGAGTTGTTACCAGACCAACATGGATATCTCTGGGAGATGCAGGTGAGCCCTTCAGCACCTGATTTAGGACCAGGAATTGATGATTAGGGTTCTACTACTGCAGATGGTTGGAAACAAGGAAAAAAACCAAAATCCATCTTTTTTTTCAGGCCTTTGAACTTGGTGATCCTTGTGGGTCCCTTCCAACTCAGAATATTCTGTAACAACCCCATCCCTCCCAGTATGATCTCCCTCCATCTGACAGGACACAAGATCCACTGGAAAAGAGTCCACTGTGCTTTTATTGTCTCTTAGGTATCATGAAACTGTTCTCACCTACCTTAATACACACACTGACTTCAATGATTTTGTTCCCCTGCATGCCAGGAGAGCTAAATAACGTCAGTGTTCGAATTCTGCCTTCTGGATGTGAAGTGTTTTTCTTACACATTTTGTCTCCCATAAACTTGGCTTTCAACCAATCCATCAGTATCCTATCAAACAAAAAAAAAGTGGGCTTTTGAGAGTTGTCAAAAAATGGCATTTTAGGGTTTTAGTATCAGCACCTCTAAGACCACAATCTATCATAATCCTTTGTATTTAGGTTATGATAAATAACCTTAATAAAGAGCTGTGAACTGTCCTGAAATTATCATATCAAAGTTTTGCTTTCAGTATGAGCAAAAAGAATTAAACAATGTTAGATAATGCAGATTACTGTAATAAATTCTTTAGTGTGCTCTGGAGAAAAATAAAATAAACTGGAAATTTGACATGGTACAGGCAAAAATACACCAAAGACTGTGTACTACTTCTCCTCTTCTACCTAAACAGAAGTCTGCTCTATTTGAGAAAGGGACCCAAAAATCAACCCTTCTACCTACCTGTTGGGATCGTCCTTGGCATATTCATCATCACTTGGCAAAACCAAGAGCACCTTCCAAAAAACATGTTCTTGTTGAACTGGAATATGTTCAGTGATTAATGAGACAAGATCCAGGGGAGTCCAAGCCAAACCACTTAAAGAGAGACAGAAACTGGTGAAAAGACCCACCTCAGTGCTCCTTTCCCACCTGAGGTGTCTGAACAGTGGACAAGTTCCAATACTGTAACCAGATGCCTTCAGGAACTGCAGCTGCTAAATCTGTTACATGAACCTTACTTTAAAGATTTCAGGACCACACGTGTATTGCTTCACTTCCACACTGATCCAATGCACACCCAGGCCACTAACAGCTCGTTTATTCCTCTCCTCCTGTACTCCATCCCAGGCCCCATCGCACCCGGGTACAAAACCACCCCCCATAATATCCATCAGATCCTTAAAGTTATACCCCAAAGGATCAGATGGCCTAACACCTTCACTAACTTAGCTTTACTGGAAGGTGTCCCTGCCCATGGGCGGGACGGGGGGTCAGAACTAATGAAATGATCTTTAAGGTCCTTTCCAATCCAAACCATTCCGTGGTTCTATGATCCTCCTGTTTCCCTTACTTCCAAAATACTCCCAGAAGCAAGGCTGCAAGTGGACATCCAGGCATGACTGGCCATACCTTACTGCCATTTTTGAGATCTCTGGCATTTCTGTTACAGCTTGCTTTGAACGAAAATAAGAACCAAACCCCAGCGTACCTTACCAACTGCTGGTAGAAGTGCTGAACTTTCATTTCATGCACTGTCTTGTTTCTCAGCCAGTTCAATCTGGAAAAAAAGTTATATTTTTTTGTTATAAAAAAAGGTATTTTAACCAAATCTAAGAAACACTGAGGCCTGAGAAATACTACAGAGGCTTCAGAAAGTTGCTGTTAATAGAACTATTTATTTGGATTTTCAGTCTTGGTCATGGCATTTGTGCAGAAAGAATCTTCTGGGAGCTATTTAAGAACAGACAGTTCTGCAAAACCACTTGCATTCACAATGGAAGAATTTTTGGTAACTTATCTTCCAAAAATCTACCAGATTGCCAGCTGGTGCCACTAGAAGTATCCTTACCTCGTGCAAGAGATTCCCAGCTTTCCTCCATTCCCCAGGTTTACAAATCTCTTGCACAAGTTCTCCATGGCTATTGGCCACTCTGCACTGGGAGACAGCGCTTTCAGCTGACGTTTTGAATCCATGCCACAGGGAGCAGCTGGAAATGCCCTCATTTGACGTTTCAACTTTGTTCGAGCTGCCACTGCTTCCCTCCACCTTTGGAAGAGAACAGATAAATAGGTCACGCTAATAAACTCCTCTGTAGACCTCTGTCACCGGATATTTGTACAGTGAACACCACAGCAATCACAAAACACTGAGCACATATCCAGAAAAATGAGTGTCCAACAGAAAGAATATAAGGATAAACTATTACAAGTTTCTAGACAGAATGAAGCTGAAATCTCCTACCAAGCTCATTACCTGACTCCCACAGGGCATGCTCCCCTACCCATGTACAGCTGAGTAATTTGGCAGAGGCTGGTATTAAGACTGTAAGGTCTACCCTTATCATGAAGACAAGACAGCAAAAACTGTCTCAAAAAGAACACAACCAGACAGCTGCAGTTCCATCTCCATTAACGGCTCCTCAGCAATGCACTTTCTGAGTCCTTTCTAATAACCAATGGTGTGAAACAAGGCTGCGTTCTCGCTCCAACCCTATTCACAATCTTTTTCAGCAGGATGCTCCAAAGGGCCATGGCTGACCTTGATGATCAGGACGGGATCTACATTCAATGGAATGTAGATGTACTGATGGAAGCCTATTCAACCTAAGGCATCCGAAGGCCCACACCAAGACCTTAAACCATCTTGTCCAGGAGCTGCTCTATGCTGATGACACCGCCCTTGTTGCCCACACAGAAGCAGCTCTGCAGCGTTTAACATCCTGCTATGCGGATGCTGCTGAGCTCTTTGGGCTGGAAGTCAGCTTAAAGAAGACAGAGGTTCTCCATCAACCTGCACCTCAGGAAGTCTTCCATCATCCCCACATCACCATTGGCCAATCAGAGCTCAAATCAGTCCAGCAGTTTAATTACCTAGGCAGCCTCATCTCCTTGGACGGTAAGATTGACGGAGAGATAGACAACAGGTTAGCAAAGGCATATAGTGCTTTTGGAAAACTCCATAATAAACTCTGTAATA